TGAACCTCCTGCTGGTTTGGTGAAGTAGCCAGATGGGTCAGGTATTCAATGCGGATGCCATGGCTGAGGTCTGACTAGTCGGCCGAGGCTAATTGGGTCATTTCGTCCGCCTTGGAGTTTTGTGATCTAGGGATGTGTTTGATCTGGAAAGTATTGAAAACGTGAACAAGGGGGAGTGCAATGTCCCTGTAGGCTCGTATCGTGTCTTCCTTTGTGTCGAATTTCCCAGTAATCTGCTCGACGATCAATTGGGAATCACTGAACACGTGGATATGGCTTACACCAATGTCGCTAGCCAGTCGAAGACCTGCTATCAAGGCCTCATATTTGGCTTCATTATTGCTCGCGTCGAATAGGAAACGGAGGGCACACTTGAAATACCCACCCTCGAGGGTGGTGAGGATGAGACTGGCCCCACTGCCTTCTTTGCGAGATGATCCATCAACACAAGGGTCCAGGAATGGGGGTCTTTTGCCTCAGTGTTGAATTACGTTGGCGGAAGGGGCACGTTCGGAGTGAGATTGGTGAATTTCAAGATAAAATTGATGACGACCTGTCATTTGATTGCTGTTTGAGGTTGGTAAGAGATTTCAAATTGACTGAGCTCGATGGACTATTGCATAAGTCTGCCCGACAACTCTGGCTGTTGCATGACCTTCTTTAAAGGCTGGTCAGAGAGAACCACTATGGAGTGAGCTTGGAAATAAGGTTGGAGTCACCTTGAGGTTATGACCAAGGCGAGGGCCATTTTTTCCAGCAGAGGAAAGTTCTGTTCTGCCCCCCTGAAAGTGTGGCTAATGTAGTAGACTGGACGTTGTACTGAGCTGTCTTTCCTAATGAGGGCAGCACTGACTACGGTGTTTGATATAACTAAGTAGAGGAAGAGGGTTTCGCTTGAGAGCACTTGAGAGAGGAGGGGGGGTTGGCCATGCACTGCTTCAGTTCTTGAAAGGCCTCCTCAGATTCGGTGTTCCACTCAAAAGCCTGTCGAGGACTTTAAAAAACGGAAGACACTTGTCTGTTGCTCGAGAAATAAAACGATTGAGGGCGGGAACTCTGCCTATGAGCCACTGAACCTCCTTGACCGTTCTGGGAGGCTGCATTTCTATCAGGGCCTTGATCTTTTCGGGGTTGGCCTTGATGCCCAATTGGTTGACCATGAAGCCCAAGAACTTCCCAAATCCTACGCCAAAGGCGCACTTCTCCAGATTCAGCTTCATCTGATATTTGCGTAAGGTTTCGAAGGTCTGCCAAATGATCAAAGGGGAGTTTACTCTTGACTAACATGTTATCGACGTAGACTTCCATGTTCTGGCCTATCTGGTGGTGAAAGACGACATTGACCAAACGTTGGTAAGTTGCTTTGGCATTTTTCAAACCGAATAGCATAACACGATAATGATAAGTTCCTCTGTCTGTGATAAAGGAGGTGTGTTCCTGGTCAGCCGAGTGCATCAGAATTTGATTGTAGCCAGAGAAGGCATCCATAAAACTAAGCAGGTGATGTCCGGCAGTGGCATTGACCAAGATCTATCCGGGGGAGGGGATAACTATCTTTGGGGCAAGCTCGATTAAGGTCGGAATAGTCGACGCAGAGTCGCCATTTACCATTGTTTTTGCGGACCAGGACTACATTGGACAGCCACCTGGGGTAGTCCATGTTTTTGATGAACTGCGCCTTTAATAGTTTATCTACCTCAAAGGTGATGAGGGCATTGTGTTTTGGCTGAAAGATACGCTGCCTCTGGCGAAAAGGTCGAAAGTGGGGCTCGATACTGAGACGATAAGTGATGAAAGAGGGATCGATGCCTGGCATGTCGAAATGGGTCCAGGCAAACACATCATTGTGCTCGGTTAGGAGAGCTGTGAGGTCGACCTTGGCCTGGGAGGATAGTTGGCTACCAATCCTGGCTGTTTTGGCTGAGTTGGTAAGATCGATGGGGACTTCAACAAGTTCTTCCACTGGTTCCCTTCTGACTAACTCTTCTTCTTCTTTAACATCGAGTCCTTCGATGATTATAGCCTCCTTCATCTTGACCTTTTTTAGTGAGACGACGTAGCATTCTTTGGCTAGCGTCTGCTCGCCCCTCATGGCGCCTACCCCAAGGTCGGTGGGGAATTTCATGGCTAGATGGTATGTGGAGGTGACAGCTTGGAAATCGTTAAAAGCTGTGCGTCCGAGGATTATGGTATAAGCGGAAGGACAGTCAACGACAAGGAAAGTGAGTAGCTTGGTGGTCTACCGTGGATACTCTCTGATGGTGATGGGAAGATTGATGGAGCCTATGGACGTCATCCGATCCCCGTGAAGCTGACTAGCGGGGTCTGGAGAGGGGATAATTTTTCTTCTTCGACCTTGAGTTGGCGATAGACGTTCAGGAAGATGATGTCTGAAGAACTTTCGTTGTCGACAAGCACCCATCTAACTTTGTAATTAGATAGAAGAGCAGAGATGACGAGAGGGTTGTCGTAGGGGTAACGGATGCCTATGCAATAGGCCTCCATAAAGGTGATGGGTTCAGTCCACTGCTTGGGGTGTTTGAAGGGGCGATCCAATGTCGCGACTTACTTATCTTAGCCCTGTCTTATTTTTCTGAGTTCAGCTCGTTGGGACGAACAGGATGGACCTTCGCATACAAGCCCACCAGTGATGACTCTGATCTCTCCGACCTTAGGAGGCAGGGTTTCCTTGTGCTTGGGTTATGGTGGGGGCCGATCATTGTCTCGCTTGGGTTGTGCGAGTTGTCGGGAAGGGATATATCGGCGGTGCCCCCCGGGGGGGTCGGTCCTTGGTCTCTGTTGGGGACGGGCTGCCGTGAACCGACTGAGGCGACCCTCTCGTATCAAACCTCTACCTGGTCTTTAAGGTTAACACATTCCTCAGTGTTGTGGCCGTGGTCCTGATGAAAACGACAGTACTTGGATTGATCTCGCCAGTTAGAGGGAGACCGCAATGGTTAGGGCCATTTCAGGTTGTAATCCCGTTGGATTTGGTTCAAGACTTTTTCTATAGGGGAATTGAGGAGGGTGTATCGCTCGAACCGACCAGGCGGTTGGGTAGGTGCCGGTCGGTCTGCTCGAGCGAGTCAGTCAGTAAACTGAGGGGTTTGTTGTGTATGTTGGGAGGGTCTGATTTCAGATTCCTTTCTCTTCTCCCTAGGGGTTGGATTTTTAGTTGTAGTATCTTGGTGGGCTGCCAGAGAGTCTTCGACGTTCATATATTTTTGGGCTTTGGAAAGGAGGGTGGCCATAGAGGTTGAAGGGTTTTTGGAGAGGGAGAAAAGGAAATCGGATGATCGTAAATCGGCCATGAAAGCCTTGAGGATGACCTTGTTGTCGTTTTCTACAACATGTAGGGCTTCGGTGTTGAAACAGGTGACAAAGCTACGTAGCAACTCCCCTTCCGTTTGACGAATATTAAGAAGCTGAGTTGCCGGGCACCGCCGGGCTGAGCGCCAATGAAATGGCTCAGAAAGAAATCACTTAAGTGTTGGAAAGTAGAGACAGAGTCCGGTAGCAGCTGACTAAACCATAGTCGAGCCGACCCCTTAAGTGTCACAGGGAAAGCCCGATACATGATCTTATCAGGAAAAGCATGGAGGATCATAAGGGTCCTGTAAGTCTCCAAATGGTCAACCGGGTCTGTTGTACTGTCGAAAGAGTTGATCGAGGGCATTTTGAACTTGGGAGGTAGGGGTTTGTCCCTAATGGAGTTGACAAACGGAGAGTTGGCTGTTGTGGAGGGTTTATTCTGTATGTTCTGCATGACTCCTTGAAGCTGGAGTTTCATGGCTCAGAGTTCCGCATCCCAAATAGGAACATTGTCACCTCCCAAGTGTAGTGGAGGCTGAACACTACTAGCCTCTCTTTCAGGGGCAGGTGTTTGAACGGACGGATGTAAACCTCGAGGTAGCGGGTTCATGTCTTGGGGTGGGGCTTGCAGACCCTCTAAGTTGGAGAGGTGGGCTTGTTGGAAAGGATGGCTCGGGGTTGTTCTCGATTGGAAGGGATATCTTGTGGTGGTGGAGGAGGTATAGGGAGGTTTCATTAGAGCAAAGCGTTGATCAAGGCCTGGTTTTGCTCAGCCAAGCGGTTGATGCTGTTGGTGCGTTCTATGAAGTACTGAGGTGGGTTGTTTGGATTGGGAGGGTTGGCTTGGGGGTTGACGACGTTGTGTTGAGAAGCCATGGATCTCGTTGTGACCATCTACCTTGATGACCGGCAAGGAGGAATTATCGGGAATGGGTCTCCGGTAACAATGAGCACAATTGTCACGCGGAGTGGCGTTCCCACAGACGACGCCAACTGATGATACTACTAATCCCTGAGGGTCAGGTTGGGCTGACCCATGCTTCCAACACCGTTCTCTAATAACTAAGAGCGGACCCTCCGACGATCCAGTTAGAAGAGAGAGAGGTTAATGGCAAGTAAAGAGAGAATAATGATAGGGAACTTAACCTTTTGTGTGTCTTGGAAGCCTCCTTATATCCTTTGTTCATCATTTTCTTGTCCACTCCGACCTGTCATGTTGGCTGAAAGTCTATGCACTAACTTGCCTTGTTCATGGTGAGGCTGCCCGTTCCGACGTGAAAGGGTTATCGCATTTAATACTGCAAGGGCCTCATTAATGGCTGATGTGTGGTGCAATAACTCTGCAGGATCTTTGTCTACTTACGTGGCTAGTTCTCCTCTTGACAAGTGTTTAGATACCATTGGTTCTTGGTGCAACGTTGGGTTTTAGTAGTGTTGCACTTTAGTGCTTAAACCGTGAATTGGACTCTAAGTGGTGGGCCAAAAGTCTCTATGGGCCCACCGATGTCAATATATATTAATTTTAAGAAGCATTTGAGCTAATTCCAAACAACCCTAAAAGTACTCTTGAACAGTACTATCTCCATGATTTCAACGTGTTGTCTCCATCTTTGTCTCTGTGGATGCAAAAACACGTGTGTATATATAATATACAAAAAAATATATATAAAAGTTGAGTAGTGAGGAGGGTTGTGTTGAAAGAAATTAAGTAAATTCTTCTACAAAGGCCATGGGAGTGGTAACTGAAAATCATCATCAGACTCCATTGTTGTTGCAATCAAGCCTTGCTTTGTCTCCTCATGATCAACCCATCCACAGAACTGGTTTGTCTACTACTACACTCTTTATTTTTTCTGTTAATTTCGCTTTCTCTTTTTCCTTCTCTATGCGTCGATTCAAAATAAATAGACCAAAAAGACTAACCCAAAAGACACCAACCCATAGTCTTCATCATCCATCTAAAATCAAGAACTTGTTTATTCATGTGATTTTTATGTTTGATTTTGTGTTTGATTTTTATGTTTATGACATTGTTGTTAACTTTTCATAACCGAATAAGAAAGGAAAGAAAGATGGAAAAAATACTATAGGTTTCGAATTTTCTACTAAATAAATAATCAAATGTCTCATATAGTGTAGAGTTTATAAAATTACAGAACTATTTGGTCATTTATTTGGTAAAAAATTTAGTACATCTAACATTACAGTTAGGAGAAAAATTAATCTCCACGTCAGCAAATATTTTCAAAGATATGGAGAAAGGCATCTATTAGATAAAATAATAGAGCAATGATGGAATGAGATTAGACTGCTCATAACACTAGAAATTTTAATGTAAGTCCACGATCATATATATATTGTCATTTTCATACTATTCTTTTGTTTTTAAAATTATGTAAGTTTTAGGACTCTGTTATTCCCGTTACCACCAACATAGGACTTTTAAAAAATAAGATAATTTCTTAACTTCGTAACATATCATTTTATGAAAAATAATTGAGCGTCACGTGTGATAGTGCTCAAAAGATGATCCATACCATTTATTGGTGGAGTCCACACCAATTGATGTGGGATCTACTCCAATAAATGGTGTAGATCATATTTGAGTCATTCCCACATGTGGCAATGAATAACTGCTCTTTTTTCATTGTTGGTTTGTTATATAATTTCAGTAATGTTTGGAATATTAATCAATATGGGTATCGTAATTAAATAGATCACAATAAGTAATAATAATTAAACATTACTTGATACATAGTCAAAGGCTTCTATGGTCATAATCAAACTTAATTATAATTAACTCCACAATATATCATAACTAATATCATAATAAGTCATAATAAAAAGTTACAAATAATATAATACACCATTTTATTAAGATGTACTCCTTTTGTGTCATTGTTGGTCTACTATTTTATTTCAGGATGTCCCAAAATGATAGTCCCATTTGGAAAGTCAAAGTAAAAAATATTTAATTTTCCAAAACTACCCTTTTTGAGTAATTATGAATATATTAAAATTTTGAAAAGATAGGGACATTAGTGAAAAATATTTTAAAATTTAAATTTAAGTGTAATAATTGCATGTTCATTAAAAAGTTAAAATATCTAAAAAGGACTAACAAAATGGAACGGATGGAGTAACAAAATTTTCCTAATCTATATACCAATGTACATTGGTAATGTAGTTAATATTGTTGATTAGTCAAAGAAGCAGTAATCATTGTCAATAATTAGATGCACACACTTAGATGGAACTTTTGAGGGTAATGTATTTATTTATTTTTTGAATTGTAGAAACGTATTTGATTATTGAAAATAATAAATGGAAATGGTGAAACAGGAAATGTATGGACAACAGTGGCCCACAAAATAACATGAGTGATAGGGTCAGGGGTTCTATCATTGGCATGGTGTATGGCTCAGCTAGGTTGGATTGGAGACTCATTCTCTATGTTCTTCTTTGCTTTAATCACTCTCATCTCTACCTTTCTTCTCTCCAACTGCTACAGATCTACTCACCCTGAGCTTGGCCCCACTAGAAACCACTCCTACTTGGAAGCTGTCTACTTCAATTTAGGTAACATTGTCATTACAGTTCTTCCATTTGCACAGAAATTAATAATAGAATCAAACACAAACTTTTTATATAGGTGCGAGATCCATCTCATATAAGATGATTATATCTGATTCTATAATCGATTTTTTTGTTTCGAAATTTTTTCTTATGATGTTGAGTTTTAACATGACATTTTCAGGAGAGAGAAGTGCATGGGCATGTGGACTTTGGGTAAATATTAACTTATATGGGATTGGCATTGCCTACATCATTACTTCTGCTATCAGCATGAGGTGCTCCATATATATTTATGTTCTTTCAAATTTTTTATTTTTTATTTTTTATTTATTGAAAAGTAGCATGAGGTATATAATCTATTACCCCACAATAATTGATTAGCTCAACAAGAATTAATTTGGAGCATTTACTATGATTTGAAACTGTGAACACATGTATACTTTCTTATTATGGTGATGTTTAATTTTTTTTGTTTTCCCAAATTTTAAATTGATGCAGAGCAATACAGAAATGAAATTGTTACCACAATTATGGGCATGAGGCTAATTGTGAATATGGAGATACTTATTATATGCTAATATTTGGATTAGCACAAATTGTGATTTCTCAAATAGCCAATTTTCATAATATGGAATGGCTCTCTGTTGTTGCTGCAACCATGTCCTTCATCTATTCCTTCGTTGCATTGGCACTTGGTTTGGCGAAAGTAATAGGTATGGTTCCCAATTTGCTCTGATTTTTCATGTTGCAAGTATTTGAAATTCACTCCGCATAATTAACTGAGCCATTTCAATTAGTCATTCTTGTACGCTCTTAACCGAGATGTCAGGAGGTCAATTCTTGTCAAAGGTAAAAATTGATTATATCTTTCCTATTGGTTTTTTTTTTAGTCGTTTACTTGTTTTCTCCATTAGGGTGTTTCTTCTTGTATTGATGTAGTTGTTGTTGGAATTGGACTTGCAGGTAGGTATGTGTTGTTAGACTTTCTTATATAGTTGATTGTTCAGTTTGATATAATTTTCTTTTAACATTTTTGTAAATAATCTCCTACCATTTGAAATTATGTGCTTAGGAGAGCTTTTGTGTTAAGAGTAATTATCACGTCTTCTTGAAACATCACGTTGGTTGTGTGTTCGCTAAATAACAAGAAATTATGTGCTTACATGCCTTGAAAAAATATGAATAAGTAAACAAATCAAAATTTTGGGTGCATATATGTTGATTTAACCATGAATTTCTTCAACATTTAATTGCAGGAGATGGAGTCATTAACGGTAACATTGCAGGAGTCTCAACTGCTACTACACTTGAGAAATTATGGTTGGTTTCTCAAGCACTTGGGGACATTGCTTTTGCCTATCCATACTCCATCATTCTCATTGAAATACAGGTAAGCCACATCCAATTTTTAATTTCCGATCAATTGCACTAGGAATACAGAAAAATTTCACAGAATGAAACACCGATGTTCTGTGAAATTTCTTTGTGTACTTGGATTTTCTCATTCTCGATCAATTACCAAGTCCAACTTCACATAACTAATGAAGAATCTCAAGTTAATGTGATTGAAAATTGCAAAATCACACCAAAGGATACTTTGAAGTCACCTTCACGGGAAAATGAGACAATGAAAAAGGCCTCAACCATAGCAGTATGCATCACAACCTTCTTCTACCTCTGCTGCGGTGGCTTCGGATATTCAGCCTTCGGTGATTCAACTCCGGGGAGCCTCTTGATTGGCTTCGGATTCTATGAGCCTTACTGGCTTATTGACTTTGCTAATGCTTGCATTGTTCTTCATTTGGTTGGAGGATATCAGGTACTACCTGTTAGACACATTACTTGATCTTTTTTTTCTTTTTTTCTTTTTTCGTTAGCATAGTTATGGAGGCAGGGGATCCTCTATCAAATTTTCCTTTCCCTTGTCCCGAGGCCCCTCTAATCCATCGTGTGATAGAGATGGGGGGCCTTGGGATAGAGGACAAGAAAGAATCCAGATAGATAATCTAGTCTCTACATTATAGATGTCTTCCAATAACACCCACTTGATGTGTTCGGTTGGACTTTGGAGCGATTAGGTTATGTGATTGGACTCCATATTATGGTCATTTCCGAATTTCATGTTCGGATCCAAAAATGCACGCTTGGATTGATAGTCCATCTGGACTGTATATCCCTCATAAAAGGGACTATTGAGTCCATGCTTAGTGGTTAAGGGGATGGGATAGAAAACAAAAGGATTAAGGAAGATCTAGATTAGGGGATTAAAAGGTTAAAATATCCTCGAACTATGGTCATTGTACTATGTAGTCCATGTTCAGTGGTTCAAAACAAACATAAGATAGGATAAGATTCTTCTAATCCCCCTCCTAATCTAGGGACATTCCAAATGTGGGATAAGATTCATTGATAAGCCCAAAACTATTGATCCCAATACTAATAATTTCATATAATCTAATCCAGAAACCCTACTTAAATCTGCTTAGTTGCTTTCAATTACCCCTCATGCTGTCAAAAAATCCCATATAAGTGGTAAATTTGCTTTAGTTCAATATAAATTGTATGTATGATCAATATTGTTTATCTAAATTTTTTTTCTTCCTTTTTTTAGCAAATAAAATCATAATTCCTTTCCATATTTGTATTTTGGCAGGTATTCAGTCAGCCACTTTTTGCACTGGTAGACAAATGGTTTGCAAAGAAGTTCCCAAATAGTGGATTTGTGAACAATGACCACACTTTGAAACTGCCCTTTTTCCCAATTCTCAGACTAAATCTTCTTAGACTCTATTTTCGCACAACTTATGTGGCGTCAACAACTGTGATTGCAATGATCTTTCCATACTTCAACCAAGTTTTGGGAGCCTTGAATTTTTGGCCACTTTCTATATATTTTCCAGTGGAAATGTACTTCGTGCAGACGAACATTGGAGCTTGGTCGACTAAGTGGATTGCTCTTCATGCTTTTAGCATTGTTTGTTTGCTTGTGATTATGTTCGCGTTGGTCGGGTCAATTGAGGGACTTATATCAGCAAAGTTGAGCTGAGAAAAACTATGTTCTAGTTTCAGTGAAGAATGAATAATGATAGCAGTACCAGTTGGATATATAGGAAGTTGTTTAATTGTTTTGTGAATTAAAAACAAAAAACAATAGCTTAAGATCATGTTTTGGGCATATCTCTAGATTTTTATTAGTGTAGCCTCAGCATTGTTAGGATTACTATGATTTTTTTTTTTAACTTCTTTCTTGTTGTCTAAATTTTTCTCTTGTATTTTTTTTTTTTTTTTTTTGTGATTTTCTTATTGAGAAATGTTTTACATAAAACATTTTTTTTAATCACAATTTCTTGTCAATAAGCAAGTAGGTTTAAGCAATTTATTGTATTTGTTGCTTGTGTTTAAGAGTAAGAAATATATTTATAAATAAATAGCGTTATTCATTTTTAATGTGAATCATACTGTTGCGGTGGTAGGAGTGGTCGATAGTGTTATTAATGATGGCCATAGTAACAATAGTGATAAGGAGACGATGTTGGTAGGTGTGGTGGTGGTGGTGGTGGTGGTAGGACAACAGGGATGGTTATATGTGTGGTAGTGGTGACACCTCTGAAATTTTTATTTAATACAAATCCCTCTCATGTTTGAAATATTATATCTCTCTTTGAGGTTTATAATCTTATTATAAATTGCCTCTTGGATTGCTGATGTCCTACCTAAAAATTTTGTGAATGACCATTTTGCCATTTTTCCTACCATTTATTCTTCCTATTATCATGACTACATTTTATAACTTTCCATTATTAAATTCTACCTGAACATATTCTTATTGAGTAATGTTATACAAATATAAATTTTATATAAAATTTTCAAACACAATGATATAACTTAATGGTGACTTTTCAGTTTAAAACCAAAAACTCATAAACATGATTTATATTTACAACATCACTATCACAATATTTTTATGATATTTTTTATATAAATTTTTATATATAAATAGAATTTTTCATTTTTATTTCCATCATCATTTTTCTTTCTCGTCTATTCACTAACATTTATTACAGTATTATCAAACACTGTCATTCACATTTATTATAGTATTACTGAATTTTTGTATTTTTATATATTTTGTATTTGGTGAATTTAAAAAAAAAAATCACAAAATATTATACTTCTTAAGTATATTTAGATTAGGTGCATCTACAAAAATTTTAAAAAAAGGGCTTAAAATATTAAAAAAATAATAAGTGAAAATAAAAAGACATGAAAAATTAAAAAAAATTAATTTTTTGTGAGTTAAATTAACGTCACAGATTCCAGATTTCCACAACATGGCATGGCTCTCTTTTGTTACAGCAATCATGCCCTACTTTTCCATTGGCTTTGTACTTTGCTTTGCAACTGTCATTGATATGCCTTCAAATTCCCCAAACCCCCCTCTCCTTTTTTTTTTAGGATATGATATGAATTATATATATTATGGGACCATTTTTAATATATTTGATTAGAGTAGGATATAATATGGAACCAGACGAGATTGATTTATTTTTGACTATTGGATGAAGAATGAATTTACATCCGGTGATAGAGGATTTGCAATATCTCACCTTTTGAGGGATATAATATTTGAACTTTTTATATACAAAGGAACCAAACATGGGATATAGGGAGGAAAAAAACTCGTAAATCCCATCAGATTTTATATCCGGTCAAACACCCATATCCCCATCGATATACCCCAAACAAACAGGGCCTAAAGGTGCAAACATGCATTTAAGAGGACAAACTCTGAGACTAGCTATAAATTCGGATATCTTGGGTTCGATTCTCGTTAATGTCTTCTAAGCTTAATGGATACTTGTGATTTGTTGGTAATTTTAAATATCCGGAATTTAGTCTATAGGGCAAGTCCAGAGAACCTTGCCTTGGGAAGCAACTCCCTTAAAAATAGTAAAAGTTGACATAATTTTGACATTTCGACTAAAAATGAAGGAAATCTCTTATAAATTATAAAATTCAATCTCAAATCCCTTGATTTGAAATCAACTCATCCAAATGGTTTCTTGCTTTTGCAATTGCAGAAAATAAGAAGATTACGGGGAGCATTGGAGGAGTCCCAGCAGGCACTACAACAGAGAAATTGTGGTTGTTTTTTTAAGCACTTGGAGATGTTGCTTTTGTCTATCCATATACAATTATTTTTCTAGAAATACAGGTATAGTTTAAAATATTAAACATGTAGAAGTGTGCAATGAAAAGGATACTTTGAAGTCACCTCTACCAGAAAACCGGACCATGAAGACGGCTTCCATGTCTGCAATCTTCATCACCACCTTCTTCTACCTCTGTTGTGGATGCTTCAGATACGCAGCCTTCGGGGATAAAACACCGGGAAACCTCTTGTCAGGCATCGGATTCTATGAGCCCTTCTGGCTCATCGATTTTGCTAATGCTTGCATTATTCTACATCTAGTTGGAGGATATCAGGCATATAAATATTGTTTCATTTCAATTTTGATGATGTTACTTTATCTTCGTTGCAAAAATATAATAACATCATCATGTTAGCATAGGAATGCAATGATAAAGATATAATAACATCATCATGTTATTATATCTTTGTCATTGCTCTGCTTACATATTTGCCATCACAAATGCTTACTATGGCCATTCACATTCATTTGTTAGGTATACAGTCAGCCAGTGTTTGCAATTGCAGAAAGATGGTTTGGTGAGAAGTATCCAAATAGCGGATTTGTGAACAATTTCTATAACTTCAAGCTCCCATTATTGTCGAGTTTTCAGTTAAATCTGCTTAGGCTATGTTTTCGGACATTTTTTGTTATATCAACCACCGTAATTGCAGTGATCTTCCCTTACTTTAGCCAAGTTTTGGGAGTGTTAGGGGCATTGAACTTTTGGCCCTTGGCAATATATTTCCCTGTGGAAATGTACTTTGTGTAGAAGAAGATTGGGGCTAGGACTACGAAGTGGATTGTTCTTCAAACTTTTAGCACTGTTTGCTTGATTGTCTCAATACTGGCCTTGATTGGGTCAGTTGAAGGACTTATACGGGCAAAACTAAGCTAAGGAAAATGGTTTTATTTATTTATTTTTTACTTCAGAATTTTCATAGAGTATCATTCACTAGAATAGTGTGTCCGTGATAATTTTGATATTACGAAATGTTTGGGATTTTTGTTTTAAAGTGATAGGCGCAGAAGTTTCTTATAGCATTCTATATGTATTTTTTGAAATCTATAACGTGCATATGTAAAAAGAGCACATTGTGAGAAATGTCACGCTATTTCATAATGTTAGTTATGTTATTTTGTAATAAAAGTTAAAATTAAACTCATTAACCATTGTAGTAATGTTTGTTCTTGATAAGATAAAGCAAATGATTTGCTACAAATGCAATTTTTTGAATAATTTTTAAATAACAAGAAAATTATTTGTACATGAATCAAATCACAAAGGATTGGAAATCTGATGATGCTTGACAATCTTTCTTTTTATTTTATTTATTTATTTTTGAAGACACCCAATTCTAATTTGAGGAAAAGTCTACTATACACTGCTCAATAATTCAAAAAGTTGTTTAAGGATTGGAAATCTGATGATGCCTGACAATCTTTCTTTTTATTTTATTTATTTATTTTTTTTTTAAGACCCCCAATTCTATTTTCAGGAAAAATCTACTATACATTGCTCAATAATTCAAAAAGTTGTTTTGTAATTAATTAAAATTTAAAATGATTTAATTACTTTTAGAATTCATGAACCATAATTACAGCTTTTAATTATTTAATGGATACTTTAGAATCTTGAGACACCTACTTGGTCTCAGGTTTGGAAGGGACTAAATTGAGAGGATCCTCTAATTTTGTTCATAAATTTCTATTATTCTTCATTGGTGGAATTGAGTGTTGAATCCTGTCACACTATTGAATTATTAAATTATACAATCAAACGAAATATATAATAAATTAGTTCCATTAATAATTAACCCAATGCCCCATAAGTTTTAGTTTGAAATTGGTAATTCTTTCTTTTATTTTTTTTTATTATATTAATTTTAAGAAACATTTGAGCTAATTCCAAACAACCCTGAAAGTCCTCTCGAATAGTTGAAAACATGTTGTCTCTATGGATACAAAAACACATGTGTATATATAGGGATGTTTTGAAAAGATGGTTAAATGTTAGTTTTTTTATTTTTTTGACTTTTTTTTTATAAAAAAAACATGTATGTTAATGTATATCCTAATTAATGTATATCATTGTTAATGTATATCATAATTTAAGAATTAGAATTAGATTAGGATTGTATCACTCTCCTATATATAGGAGCTCTTATAAATGGTTATTGATATAATAAAGATACACAATTTTCCCTTTCTCTTTCTCTTCCTTTCTTTCAACCATTATAACATAGTATCAGAGCATAGGTCTTGAATCTTAGCTGCTCTCTTCTTTTGCTTATTGCCCGTACACAGTGGCATTATAACATCTCTTTTCTTTTTCATCAATACACCATTCTTTGTTCAACAACATTGTTTCATCATCATTGTTGACCAAAATTTTATAAATTTTTTTCCACGGTGCTCGGGATTGTGCCCTGGTTCTAATACCACTAGCCCCGTTGCCAAAAACCTTCTCACACGCTATCATGCACCTCTTTTCTAGTCGGTGTGTTCAGCATTCTGCCACCACGTGCTACCACGCACCCTTTCGTTGATTGCACACGTCAGCCTGACATTAGCCCTTTTTCCCGCGTACACCATTCCTGCAACCGTGCACCCGCGTGTGCCGCTCCTGCTATCGTGCACCCGCGTACACCGTTCCTGCTACCGTGTACCCACGTGCGTCGTTCCTACTACTGTGCACCCGCGTGCATCACTTCTATTACTGTGTGTAGCGCGCCCATCGCTACTATTGTGCGCCGTGCCTTCTTCTGCTATTGTGCATCGCGCCTATGCTGACATCATGCAGCTTCTTGCTGACATGATCTCTGCACCATTCAGCCATTTCCCAGCTATTTTTGACCTTTCGAACTCATTGGTATGATCTGTTTTACCTAATTTTGCTCCTACAGTTCTGTTACTATTTATTTTGTCCTACCACCATATTATTATGGATCATCATGATGCCTCCCATCCAATTTCTGTTATGCTTGATGGATCCAATTATGTTTTGTGGGCCCAAGTCATGTCTTTTTTCCTCAAAGGTCGGAAGCTCTGGTGTAT